TTTATTATTATATTTTATTTTTGTTATTATTTAACTTTTATTACATATTGCTATAATATTTTTCTAAGCATACATTGTATTTCTTATTAACCTCACGCTTATGTCTCTTCCAGAGGAAATGCACAAATTCATAGCGGAACAACTGCAAACGGGACGCGTGCCACTTTGTATAAATCCGCAAAGTGCGGCCTTCAAAAGTTTTGCTAGGTAAGTGAATTTCCACGCCATAATTTTGCTATTAACATCGAAATATAGAAAAAAGTAACCTCCAGTTGAAATTATATAAATTTAACAAGCAAGACCTTAACAATCCTTTTTGATATTATATTTTTTATTTTAACACTCACATTGCTTTGCAACTTTTTTGGTTTTTGCTGAACGATTTGGTGTAACAATATTTTTCGAATTCCACATATTTTTTATTGTAATTTCTTTTGAAAACTTAAATACTTTATACATTTATCTTTAAAACTTTTTTTACCAATTTTTTTTTTTTTTTAATGTATGTCTAAATTTGTTTATTTATATTGCTTTATTATTTATAATTTTTATTTCAATGTTTTGTTTTTGTTTTAATTTTGTACACATTTTTTAATATGATTTTTATTTTTATTTAGCCATGCATACACTCGTAAGTTGGATTTTTGGTTTATTTTTTGATTTGAATCTCTGAATTTTCAGAAAAAAAATATATTATATTTTTATGTCTTTAAGTTTTTTACTTTTTAACCTTTTTCACATTTTATTTTTTTTTTTTTTTTATTTTCGAAATTTTCAGTTTTGTCTTATTTTTTACATTTTTACCTTTTTTTACATGTTTTAAACTTTAATTTTCACATTTATTATATTTTTCAAATTTTTACATTTTATTGTTTTATATTTTTTAACTTTTTCTAATTGTGGAAACTTTTTTGTTAAAAAGTTTTAAGTTTTTTTATTTATTTTTGTTGTTTTTTAAATTTTTGTAAACTTATTCATATTTTGAAACACTTTTTTTTTAATTTTTACCTTAGCTTGTTGTTGCTTTACAGATGTGTATAAGAGACAGGTTATAGTGTGTGTGGAACGCCGTTTAGGTTGCC